ACTCAACAATGTTGAGAAGTTCCTCTATTTTTCAGCAATATTAGAGTCAACACTCTGCCTTACAGCACCTTTTGAGACTTCAACGTCTTCTCCCTCCAAACCTAATGGCTTAATATTTTGCTTCTGTAAGGAACTGGGTTCCTTACTTACACTACCCTTTCTATCCCTGAACAACCATGTCTCCCTCTTTTTCTTCTCAATCTGTTTACCCTTATCATCTGCTGCATCTTTCTCAGCCAACTTTTTTGTTAAATTCTTTCTCACAGGAAAAGATTTCATTTCATTCTCTAATCACATCAGCAGCTCACACCACTTCACCATCAATCAGCCTACTTTTCATCAATCCTTTTTACTGATCGAAAGTTTGTTTATACACAGAACTCAAGGAGAAAAAGATCATCATTATAATTAACTTCATGAGAAGGACTTGAGGGATCAGGTCCCTCATTCAGTCCTCATATTCACCAATTTCTCCATTCTTCAACATTTCTACTCAACCGCAACTTCACCCTCACGCTGTAGAATATTAGATCTACCATGTTCCCTTTCAGTTACACTTCCATCAAAATCTACCAAAGACTTCTTGGGGTTATGATTCTGATGGAGTTAGTTTTTCTTTTTGGAAAGTGAGAAAGTTGGGTTCAGCTCTGGCATATTTGGAAGAAGGATTACTTTGAGACAAGGTTGATTCTGGTTTTGAAGAAAAGACTCGGTTTTATTTGGGTGTAAGATAGAGAAGTTCCTTTTTTGGGGCAACGGGTCAGTTTAGAAAAGGTTTAACATTTTGGACTTCAAAAGTTAGGAGGAGAGGCAGGAGAAAGGCAGAAACAAATTGATGACATGACACTTCAGCAGCTTAAAAAGGCATATAAGTATTGAAGAGACTACTAACCTGAGTCACAGGAACCAGGGGTTCCGTGACTGTTTTTCAAAATTTTGAGCAAGGACTCCTAGAAGTGCAATGTCACTCTTACTTGTTTTTGTCCTGAGACTGCCATATGTGTATACCTGTAACAGTATAGATTTGAGTTAGATGTCGCCAAAAAATACTTTTTTAGCATTGTATCTTTTCTTCTTAACATAGCCAATCATCGAGGGACCAAGTTCCTCTGTGCCATTTGGAGATTCTAATGCTTCTCCTTCATCCTTCTGCTTGACTTGACTCATCAAATCAGTCTTTCCATTGGCAATATCTATAGCTTTACCAGGAGCATTTGTGAATTCTCCATCTTCATCTGCTTGGTTTTGTGACCCTTTTTCCATCATTGTTGAGAACAAAACATTTGCATCCAATGGCTCTCGAGTAGGTCAACTTGGCTTTTCTCCCATTGATCAGTTCATAGAGAGACTTCTTGAGGAGGGACCTGATTATGCATTTGTTAATCAAGTAGCAAGCAGTGTTGACTGCTTCAGCCTATGAACCAGGTCCTCCATAACCAACTTGTTCAACAAGTAGAAACTCACATCCCCAGTCATCTTCACCATAATTCAGCATCATCATTCATTAATGACACTTAGGCATGTTAGATCACAACCATGCTGGGACTTAAAATCAGCAGTGTAGACATTCTTGTATCTTTTGGCCACAAGCACCACCTCACTAGTCACAAGATTTGTGACTGTGCATATCTTGGACAAGAATTCCACTTTATTTCACGCATTGTGTCCTTTTGTTGCAGCCTTGTAGGCTTTGTTTTAAGAGGAATATCCCAGAAAGATTCCTTCATCACTCTTGGCATCAAATTTACCAGGCTGATCCTTTCCATTGTAGAGAACATAGCATTTGCACCCAAATGTTCTTAGGTGAATCAGCTTGGGTTTCCTTCCAGTCAGCAACTCATAGGGGGTTTTGTTCAGGAGAGGTCTGATCATGTGCCTCTTTTCACTCCTGCTCAGTATTGCCATAGGAATTGCATGCTCCGTGTTCTTTGAACTTTGAATTTGACAGACCATGGACCAGGTCCTTCTTCATCAATATCTCCAGAAGTGGGAAAACTTGTATCCCCCCAATCCTTAATGCCAAGTCTTCGAATCATTATCAACTGCATTCAAGCAGCTCATATCTCTAGCTTAGACACAAACTTCTACCTTGTTTTTCTTCCTCATACCTAGAATGTACCCCTTCTTTCTATTTTCCAAAGGGTACATCCCTTCCTTGCAGGGATTTAAGTGAGAGAAAATCCATGGAATTTTCAGTCATGTGCTTTGACCATCTACTATCCATGATCCATTGCAGTCCGTTTCCTCCCACTGTTCCCTGCACATCTAAATTATGGGTTAGATTTAGGAACCCAAACTAGTCTGGGTCCCTTGTTATGATAGAAGGGATGGATAAGGGCTTTTCTAGTCCATACAGGCAGTATTGGTTTCTTGCGAGCGGTACCTGGTCCCCTGTTAGTAGTCACTTTGTCAGTAAGCACTTTGTTTTTCTGAACATATTGAGCCCTGGCCTGACAATTTTCTTTGAAGTGCCCATTGTTCCCGTAGTGGGTACACAGCCAGTTATCAGGAACTGTGACGTACTTGTTGTGAGGGTTGTAAGGAGTTTTCTCCTTTTGGAACCCGAATCCCTGCCTGTTTCCACTATTTTTGAAGTACATGGCAGTGACAGCATCTGAGGACCAGGTCCACTTGAGAGATTTCTCAAGGTCACTCTTTATTCTCTTCAATCTAGCTTGAAGCTGCTTATTTTTCTCGAGTTTACCACATATCCTAGTTCTAGCAGCTTTCAACTCATTTTTAAGCCTAATATGTTCCTCACTGGCTATCTCCTTTCCTTTTCTAGATTTTTTAGGTTTTAACTTAGTCCAAGGTTTCACTATTGTTTCCCTTAGGTCTGTAATTTCTGCCAAAAGATCATTCTTTTCTTTTCTGAAAATTTCAATGGTTTTCCTATGGTCAGTAACTACAGCCACTAAGTCGACTCTAGTTTGTTCAGATTCTGCTAACTCTAAGGTCAAAGAATCCCTATCCTCCACAAAACTATGAAAGGCATTGATTAATACGTTAGCTAAAGACACGAGTTTTCTTGGAGAATAGAATTTCAGATTTCTCTGAACATCCCTGAAATTTACCTCTATGTTGTCTTCGTCTTCATCATCATCTGGTCGTGCCATCAATGCAAAGGTTGAGTCATATTCAGCTGGTCTTTTTTTCTTCAATTTCTTGGAGAATTCTTGCTTCAAGAGAGGACAATTGTTCATGAGGTGTCCAGCCTTTCCGCACTTGTAACAAAGATCATTGTTCTTTAATTTGTTAGAGTTGTCCCTTTCTAGCACTTCTCCATCTCTTCTGACCATCTTCTGAAAACTTTTGGTTAAGTAAGCCATGTAACCGTCTTCCTCACTCGAATCATTGTTAGCAGCTTTAAGTACCCGGTACTTTTCCTTCTTTGGTTTTCTCCTTTCAAGAGTTGGTGGAGTAGCCATGAGGATCCTTCCCAGGTGTTAGCCTGATAGGAAGAACCTGCTCTGATACCACTTGTTAGAGACTGTGCGTCCACCAGACTGTATAAAGAACCGGGTTTTCTATGTGTTTCCTCTGAAAGTACTGATGAACCAAACTGCATAGGGATCTGGTCCTATATCAGTTTGATACAGTGCTAAGTTTGTGTGAGTCCACCAAATAGCAGAGTACCTGGTCCTTTATTGGGTTATGTTGTGAATGCTAGTAAAGCTGAATGTAAATAACGCCATGGATTTTTACGTGGAAAAATCCCACACAAGGGGATCAAAAAACCACGACCTACACATGTAGGCTTTTAACTTCACTAACTTGCAATCTCCCTATTACAAGCCACTATACAATAACTCTATTGCAAAGACTTCAACTAACTTGTGATGCTCTCATCACAAGCCACTCTATAACTATCCTAGTTACAAAGAATTTGACTAACTTGTGGTATTTCCACCACAAGACACTTTGTCACACTACGGTTACAAAGGCTTTGACTAACTTGTGATGTTTCCACCACAAGCCACTTTGTTACACTACGGTTACAAAGGATTTTTCTTATGACTCAACCTAATCAATGCTTCTAAGAAAGCTGGATAGGAGTTACAATGAAGAACAAATCACAAAGACTCTACAAACCTAAAGACTTAAAATATCTGCGATCTTGGATCAGGTCCTTGAGGTTGCAACAACTTTGTTCTTGAGAGAGGTTCTTGAACACTTGAGAGAATATTTTACTTTTCTGAGTTTACAAGCGTTGAACCAGAATCTTGTGCCTTGCATGAGGTTTATACTACACAAGACATTACCTTAGTGATGTCAATTCACAATGGTGATGTCCAATCTCAATGGGAAGTGACTGTTGCACTGTCTGTAGAACTGTTACGTGTACAGTTGCAGGCAGTCACTTTCTGTAGTTACTTTCCAGCTGTACTATTGACTTATACTTCTGTCAGGGGAACACTAAGATATCAGGTTCCTAATCTGGTTCATGTGAACCTAAAGCACACTACCCGGATTATCTTGAGTCGATTAACCTGAATGATTGTACCACGCTAGCTTCAGGTCCTTTATCTGGTTCTCTCATGAAGTAAGTTGTTTTACCTTCCTTGATGGTATTTATACTTGTGTGACATCACTTACAATGATGTAAGAAAGGTAGGTAAAAAGCCTTCCATAGAAAGTTGACTGCTGCACTGTTCCTGTGCAGTAGCGTGTGCAGGTAGTAACTTTCATGCTGGAGAGTTGACTTCATACAGTCTCCTCGGGAACTGGTAGGGACCTGTTTCCTCAAGTTCCTTCCACTCTGAAGAGTTGAGTTATATCCTACGCTGGATCCCAATCTGGAGTTTTGTGATCTCAAGGTCTTGTAGATGTATAACAGGTTCCGTATCTGGTTCTAGATGGTAAGTTTGTTAGATCATCAAAACATAAAGTAAAGTACCTATGCCCAAGGTACTTGTAACCTATCATATCCTTTGTACATAACAACAGTTGACAAAGAAGTTGTAGCCGGAGGTAGTTTAATTAAAGGCGACATTGTCCAAATGGAAGAAACAGTTCAAAGGTATAATTTCGATATAGATGATACCGTTGCCCTTGATGTTGTAAATTCAGGAGAACCAATTGGGGTGTTCGAACTGGACAAGGATTTGATAATTTCAAAAACAAATCAAAGGGAGATTATGGTTGGACAAGTATATAAGGATAAAGCTACATTGAAAGAGGTGATGGAGCATTACGCTATATCAGAAAGGTTTCAGTTCCGGGTTGATAGGTCTAATGCAATCCGGTTTGAGTGTTCTTAAGTATTTAATATTGTTTTGTATATTGTATTTCTGGTTGGATTTGTAAAGCGTATGTAGGTGTATTTAGTTGTATTTGTGAAATTTTACTTGACCTATATTGTTGTGCGTTTTTATTTATTATGTATTAATAATACATGAATTGTTGTGGAGCATTACGCTAGTACAGAAGAATTGAATATAAAATCAAACTGTATGTATATGTATTTAGCTGTATTTGTGAATGGTTACTTGACCTTCACAGTTGTTCTTGTTTTATTTTTTATGTATTAATGATACATGTATTCTTGTGGATTACAGTGGCTCTAACTATTTTTTATTAAATGTATTAATTGTATTAAAATGTATGCTTATACATCTAGGTGTATTCAGCCATGTTTAAATGTATAAGACTGTATATATTTGTGTTTTATGCTACTCTATATGTATATATAGATGCAATAATATATTCAAATGTATATGAGTGTATTTTTTGTAAGTATTTATACTGATCATATGTTTAATTATAACTTCTTTGCAGCTATGCATTATTATGTATGTCTGAAGATTATGAATGGAGGTTTAAGGCTTCTAGCATTAACAAATCACAATTATTCAAAGTGAGAGAGTTCAATGATAAGCATACATGTCCGTTGAAGGATAAGGTGTATGAGCAACGTCAGGCAAGTAGCAGCCTTATAGGTGGTATGATTAGACCCAAGCTTACAAATCATAAGAGGAAATACACCTCAAAGGATATCATTGATGATGTGAAAACTGATTTAGGTGTCGATGTTAGTTACATGTTGGCATGGCGGGCTAAAGAAAAGGCAATGAATTTTTTGAGGGGTGAACCGGCTAATTCATACAATAAATTACCAGGATACTTGTATACAATGGATATGACATATCCTGGTTCGTACATTAGAATGGTAAAATCCCCACAAAATGAGTTCAAGTATGTGTATATATCCATGTATGCCTTTATAAAGGGGTTCGATCAATGTAGACCCATTGTGGTTGTGGATGGAAGCCACTTAAAATCGTATTACACTGGGACTTTTGTCTCGGCCAGCACTTTGGATGGTGCAGGTGAGTATGCTGGTTATAATAAAATATTATAATATTACTGCATATTAAATATTGAAATACATATTTATAGTATGTATGCAATTTTATTTACAGGTCATGTACTTCCACTAGCATATGGTGTTATTGATTCAGAGAACGATACTGCTTGGACGTGGTTCTTTGAGCAGTTCAAGGAAGCATATTGTGAGAGGGAAAGCATGTGCATAGTTTCAGATAGGAACGGAAGTATCATCAAGTTTGTATCAAGAGTGTATCCAACTGTGCCACATTTTGCTTGTATATGGCATCTTTGGAACAACGTATATAAGAAATTCAAAAAGAGCCATTCAAAGTTGAGCGAGATATGCTTCTCAATGGCAAAAGCGTACACACAGGTTGAGTTTGACAGTCTAATGGAGAAGGTGGAGAAGGTAGATATTAGGGTGAAGGAATACTTGGAGTTAGCTGGATACAAAAAGTGGGCTAGGTTGTATGCACCTGTCAACAGGGGATGGCAATGACGTCAAATATTGCCGAGTCAATCAGTGTCGCACTTGTGTCAGCAAGGGAATTGCCAATATACGACCTCCTCGAAGAAGTTAGGAAAATGTTTGGACGTTGGAATCACAGCAATCGAAAAAAGCTCTACAGACATACACAACGCTTGGGAAGAAATACCATGAGATGCTTACCTTGAATGAGGCAATGTCTACACGAATGACTGTAAGTTGCCTTTTATTTATGTATCTGTTTCCTATATNCCTTTTATTTATGTATCTGTTTCCTATATGTATCCATGGTACAAGGTATTTAACTGTATATATTTCAAGGTAGAAATGGAAGTTGTATCCTATATTAGCCAAGACTACTCTATAATATTCTGCCAGCATTCATGTAGTATGTATTCTAATATATTCAATGTATTTACATGTATATACATTTATGTCTTTGAATTCTATATGTACAAATATTTTTTTTTTTGACAAGCAGGGATATATATATATATATATATATATATATATATATATATAAAAATATATATATATATCACGAAATAGAATTGTTCAAATTGCCCGGGGGGGCATTACGTACTTGACTATTACACACCAATAACATGTCCCTTAGGATATTTTTGTTACCAAAAGCTGCTAGCCTAGGGCAAACAGCTTTGTTAAGGAACCTAATTGCATAAGTCTCTTCTTGACAGTCTGATTTCAAGATATTAGTTACAAAATACGGAGCATAATAGATAACATTAGTATCCTTGTTGTTGTTGCTACCCTTCAGTCCTTCTTTAGCCAGTAGGTGTGCCGGCTTGTTGGCCTCCCTGAAGATGTGATGTACTCCGTGGACCTTCACTTGCATCATTAACCATCTGCACTCATTAACAATGTCATTAAGTAATAACATTCCATTATCCAAACAGTTAATAACATCAGTTGAGTCTGTTTCTACTTCTAAATTTGTAAAACCTTGCCTAATGGCGGTTTTTAGACCAATATTTAGGGCCATTAATTCTGCCTGTAGTGCAGATGTTCCTGAAGATTTTCCATGAAAGCCAACTATCCATCAGCCATGATAATCTCTGAACACCCCATCATAACCACAAAGTGATTGGTCGTCATTGAAGGAACCATCAATGTTGAGTTTGATGAAACCTCTAGGGGGTTTGTTCCAGTTGACGCTTATAGGAATTTTTCCCGGCCTAATATTTTCTTTTCCTGTCAAAAGTTTGACCTCAATAGATAATTTAATAGCACATTGAAGGTTAGGACAATGTGTGTAGTTATATATAAATTATTGTTTCTGTTATTCCAAATTGTCCAAATGACAAATGGAAATAAGTCGTGCCAAGTAATAATAGGATTCTTGAAAGTTGATTTGTGATCACGAATACCAGTAAGACAATCTATAGCACCATTCCAGATATTGGGATTAATACCTAAGTATGACCATAACTGTTGGACTGCCATGCATTCCAAAAAAATATGATTAATAGTTTCTTTTCCAGTTTTGTAAGTAGAGAATATAGGATCTATGTTAATGCCAATATGGTTTAAGAAGCTCCTTGTTGGGAGTCTATTATGGTAACATTTCCACAGAAGAAATTTTATCTTGTTTGGACAATTTATGTCCCAAATCCACGTGTAATCCTTGTAACACACCAGTTGATTGTCTAGGAGGGAGTAACAAGATTTACTAGTGAATAGACCATTGGAGTTCAATGCCCAGAATGGAGTATTATGTGATTTATTAGTAGAGTTGAGTAGCACTTATCTTATTGATGATTCTGGGCTCTAGGGCCATTGAGAGTTTGGAGAGGTCCCAAGTATTTTGATTCCATATATCCTTTATGGTAAGTGCTTCATCTCGTTGGGTTAAGGGACCCTGAATATATTGACGGAGAGAGTTGAATTTGGGAATCCAACGATTATTCCACATACTCAAGGTTGAGGACTTGTGTGGCATCCAAGTAATCCCTTTGCTACATATTTCCCAACCTAGAACAATACCATTCCATATAAAGGAATTATTATTCAAAGTTTTCCTTGTACCATAGAGACCTATTAATGTTTTATCCCAAGGGGATTGAGTATTTTGGAGGAGTCTCCAAGTAAGGTTGGCTAGGCTTACTAGGTTTTTCTTTTTTGCAGCTCGAATACCTAACCCACCATCCTTTTTGTTTTGGGTGATATCTTCCCATTTAATGAGATGGAGTTTTTTTGATGTTCCATTTGTACCCCATATAAAATCCCTTTGGATCTTGTCAATTTTACTAAGAATGTTAGCCGGTAGGAGGGTGTATTGCATTAAGTGGTTTGGAAGAGAGTTTAGACAGGAGCTTGCTAGGGTGCATCTACCACCCATGCTTAGTAAGTTTGATTTCCGTGTACTGAGTCTAGAAATCATATTATCTAGGACAAATTGAAAATCCTTGGCCCTAGGTTTGGAGCTTGTAATAGGAAAACCTAAGTACTTACCGAAGGAATTGCTAACTTTGATATTAAGGTTTTGTGAGAGGGTAGCTTGTGTAGATTTGGGGCAGTGTTTGGATATGATGATTTTGGACTGCCCTGATAGGAGACAGAAGGAGTTAAGACAGTCCTTAATGGCTTCAATAGATTTGTTATTAATTTTAGCCATTAAGGTTAGATCATCTGCAAAAAAAAAGATGAGATATATGGAGCTTATTGTTGCCAATAGTGATTGGATCCCAACATCCTATATCAGCTTTATGGTTAATAAGGATAGAGAGCATCTCCATACAAAGGATAAGAAGATATGGAGACATAATGTCACCTTAGCGAATGCCTCTACTTGGTGAGAAATAGCTAGTTCTTGTACCATTAACCAAGATTGCCATTCTACTAGTGGTGACACAATTCATTATAAGCTTTGTCATATTAGGAGGGAATTTGAAGAATCTTAAAGCTCTATAGACAAAGGACCATTCTAAACGATCAAATGCTTTTTCCAAGTCAATTTTCAAAATCATGGTATGTTTATTACCACGATATTTATTCATTTTGAGAATTAATTCTTGAATGATAATGGCATTATCACTTGCTTTCTTATTTTTTAGAAAGGTACTTTGGGAAGGGCTAATCAAATGATTAAGGAAGGATTTCAGCCTAGTGGAGATAACCTTAGTGATTATTTTATACACAGTATTACAAAGACTTATAGGTCTAAAAAATTTTAAGTTATTTGCATTAGGAATTTTTGGAATTAGGCAGAGCAACGTATCATTAATATTGCCAGGGATAATTCCAGTCTTAAAAGCTTCTTGGCATAGACTGGTAACAGCATTTCCCACAATATTCCAATTATTTTGAAAGAAAAAGGGGTGAAGACCATCAGGCCCGGATGCCTTATATGGTTTAAATGAGAAGCAGGCTTTAGTAATTTCAGCATGGGTAACGAGGTCATCAAGGGAGGATAAATCGAGTTAATAAAACACTTAGGGTCCTTTTTAATAAGACTCCAATTGCTACTAGTGTGGGAAGTTGTAAAAGCTTTTTGAAAATAATCTTTTGTGTGATTTATAATATCCTCAGGATCGTCAATCCACATCCCTAGATCATTTTTGAAGAAATTAATCTTATTAATTCTTTTCCTATTGGTAGCTACGATATGGAAAAATTTTGTGTTTGCATCACCTTCGTTTAACCAATGTACTTTAGAACGTAACTTCCAGCAGTCTTCCTCAATCTGAAGGATGTTATTATATTCTTGAATTAACGATTGTTCTAATATTTGAAGAAATTTACTATGGTAATAGGAAGGAGAGTTTTGGATACCTTTGAGTCTTGCAAGGATGATTCTCTTATTTTTAAAAAGATCCCCAAAGGTAATGTTTTTCCATCTAACAACAGCCTCTTTAAAAATAGACACAACCTTGTTATAAGAATTGTTACACCACGAGTCATTAACTAAAGTCTTAAAATGAGGATGTTTGCACCAGTATGGTTCTAGTCGGAATGGTTTATCAAGTAAGTGACACTTTTTAAGGATAAGGTTGATTAGAAGCGGGGTATGATCAGAGTGTGTCTTAGGTAGGTGAGTAATAGAAGCATTTGGAAAGCATTGTATCCATTCATTATTTTCGAAAGTTCTATCCAAACGTTCCAAAATTAGGTCATTATTACTAAACCTACGATTTGACCAAGTATATTTGCATCCTTTATAGCCTAAATCTTGTAATTTATAGTAATTCAAGTTATCCCATAGCTTAAAAGCACGTCTACGATTAAGAGGTCTCCCACCAATTTTATCATTAGCACTAAACATATCATTAAAATCCCCTCCTACTAGCCATGCATCTGTATAAGAGTCAGCTTTATTTTTGAGATTATGCCACATAATATCCCTATCAGTAATATCAGTGCTAGCATATAAAGAAGAAAAAAGCCATTTTAGGTTAGTAGGACGCACCTCAATTGTAGCATGAATTTCGTGGTTTCTACGTACAACATTGTGGACAGTCACCTTGGTATGGTCCCATAGGAGCACCATGCCACCAGCTTGTCCATCTGCTGGTACCTCAATGAGTTCAGAAAACCAAACTCTTCCAAGAGAGGTGCATGAGATTGCATTCTAGTTTCAAGCATTGTTACCATGCATGGCCTGTGTGTATCAATGAGATCCCTGAAGTTTCTTCTAAAATTCTCATTATTTCCTCCCCTAATGTTCCATATTATAAAGTTTGTAGCATTAAACATGTTCATATTAGGGGTTGGGTTGTGACTATTCTCCAGTATTTCCCTGGTAGGGTTCAAGGTTCCCCTCAGAGTTGGGACAAGGATCATTTCTCTGTTCCCCACTGTTGGATCGTGGGGTGGGCGAATGTCCATTGAACACTTGACCAGATTCTGTGGGCAAGAGAGGATATGCCCCTTCTCTTGATTTTCTGTAAATAGAAAGACCTTTACCTCGCTTAGGTTTCCCAACTCCACCACTGATTCCCCTATCAAATCTATTGGTTCTATCATTTCCTCTTCCATGTGGTTTTCTACGTTTG